CTCATCCCAGAATAAAGTTATTTTTCTATTTTATTCTATTCTATCTAAACAAACCAAACTTACAATGCTGTCATAAGCAAAAATAAACTTATTGTAGGAGTATAATAAAAAAATACAATCAACAGAAATATAAACACAAAAATAAAAAGGGAAAAAAATAGTGATAATAACAAAATTGTCTGCAGTAATGAAACGAGTGTGCACAAATATGTTCAGGTCTGATGATGAGTTAATGATGTCCTGCTGGTCATCATTCTGTCGACATTTCTCTTTGTCCGCATTAAACCAGACATATCTAATCTTCCCAGCAGACCTCTTCTGCTGGGCTGACCAATATAAGTGTCTGTTGGTTACGTACATTTCTTCACTCAAATAGATTTTATGGGCATCATTTTCTTACTAGCCCAGGTGACAAGTTGAGAAGTCCCTTATAACCTTCTGCCTTTGGACCAACTCATCCCTGAGTTTTTTCTGGACAAACCCCACCAGAAGCGGTCCTAGCCCATCATTCTTCCTAGATTTCAGTCCCTCTATGCAATTAACATTCCCTGGCTTCAAGCTCAGGCATAGGCCCGCCCCCACACTCATCAACAAGTCTATGGGAGTCTCCCCAGATCTCACCGGGATTCCCCTCCCCTTATTTTTATAGATCTGGCGTTGTGCATCTGCTCAGATTTGTTGAGCCTAATCTCGAGCTCTGAGACCCGGTGCTTAAGTGTTGCATTTTCCAGTACCAGTCCTTCTAGCTTAGAATTTTGGATCTCCAACAGTGCCTCGACCGTCTTTAATTTCTCCATGTTCTTGAATATAATGGAGGACTGCTTTTCTAGAGATATTTTCAACTCTTTGACCTTATTGGCATTAGCATTGAGAGAAAATTTTCAATTCCTTGACCTCTGCCGTTAGATCTTTGATGGCGGTCAAGAGCAACTGGGACGAGGAGTCGAAAGCTGGTTATTGTGGAGTTAATTTTGGAAGGCTGGCCTGAAACCTTACTTCTCATTCTTTGAATTATTTTTACAGGCTTTTTCACAATTGGGGCATGCTCAATTCTTTCTTAATGACTTTAGTCTTTAGATCTCAGCCTTGTCTGCATTTAGGCATTTACCATGGAATATAGCTTAACAAGTAATGACAGTAAATGTCAAGGTTTTTTGGTCATCTCTCGCAATTAGCTGCTTGTACATTGGACATTAAACCATTTTGCCTGGTATAATATCCAATATGGTATACAGTAGATATATGAATAAAAATATGAAATATAATGATACAAAAATTGATGTAACCTCAATCTAGGCAGAGGAGGTACTGACTATAGACGGCAGCCTTTACTTATCTAAGCCTTATCTCTGCAAATGCGCTCCCCCCTTCTAGAAAACCAATATGTCCTGTTACCTGGACTAAGCTAATTGAAAAATTGGTTTTGCTTTCTTCTCTTTTCTTGACTAGATATGTTATTAAAATGAAAATTTAACCTTAGCAGTGGATACTTAATAGATGTTCCTAGTTAAAAACTTTGACTAAACACTACTAAGAAAACTCATTAAACAGGAACTAAATAATTGCTATACACTAACTGTACTGAGGTCAAGACCGCACTGATGTGATGGAAACAAATTACAAATTTATATGCATTAAGAATTATCTGTTTGTTTTTTCACTGGGAACTTGTTTTGAACAATGGTTACAAAAAATGATTTCTCTAAGAATTTTAAAAACTTTCAAAATGAATCTGAGTATGGTGTTTAAAATGGCTAACAATTGGAGATGAAATGCTGAGAAATGAAAACATACATATTCTTAGACATCAATAGCTGAAGGTACTATTATTTTGTTTGTTGTTTGATTATCGAAAATGAACCTACAATTGTAATCTCTTTTCTCTCTTATGGAAACATTCCACCATCGTCCTTTTCCTGAAACCAGGTAAACCTTCCAACAATGCATCATCCTATAAACCGATTAGCTTACTCCCAATCCTTTCAAAATTTTTAAAAAGATCCTACTGAAATGAATGCTACCCATAATAGAATTCCTGAACCTTCTTACCCACCAATTCAAATTTCGTTCCCAGCATTCCACTGTCCAACAAGGATTCCGAGTTGTTGACCGTATATCCTCAATCCTAAAAATGAAGCAATATTGTTTGGGTGCATTTCTGGACATAGCACAGGCTTTTGACCGGGTATGGCACGCTGGATTGCTCTTCAAGCTTAAATTCCATCTATCGCAATCCTTATATCTAATACTCCGATCCTACCTCTCGAACTGCTCCTTCCAAGTTCACTATGGTACTGAATTCTCCGATTGTTATTCATTAGTGGCGGGAGTTCCGCATAGCAGCGTCTTGCGTCCCATCCTTTACATTCTTTTTACCACAGTTATCCCTGTCCATCTTGAAACCCTCCTGGCAACATTTGCTGATGACACCGCTATCCTTTCAACCATCTGAGATCCTAAAACAATGTCCTTAAACATACAAATTCACCTCTCCCTGATTGAACACTGGTGTAAGAAATGGAGCATTAAGGTAAACGAATCAAAATGAAAACACATTACCTTCACCCTTAGTCGTAAATCCTGTCCAGAAGTTTATTTTAATTTCATCCAGCTTCCTTTCTCAGACACAGTCCAATATCTTGGACTCAAGGCAAGTTAATCTAGTTCTGCTAATGTCAGGGGAGTTTTAAATTTGGAAAATAGTTTCACTAGTTCAGGAAAAAGAAAAATGGCTGCTCTGGAGTTTCCCCAAAGAGGAATATGGCTGCTAGGAGAGGAATAAACGATTTTCGTTTTGGCTGTCAGTTGTTGTTTGGCTGGGATATCATGATAAAATCATATGTACGGGAATTGGTATAAATGTATTTATTACAATTAAAGTGTTGTGTACATTAAAAGTGGTTATTACAACAACACTACTGCTAATATTTATATTACTTTTGTATCTCAGTTGTTATTTTTTCAGCCTTGATGTTGGCCATCATCTTCAGGTTTAAATGTAGGCATTATGGAAAAAGAAACTCTAACTTAACTTAAGTGCATTACACTTTTAACGAAACAGTAGAACATATATAAGTATTATAAACTTCATGGATTTTTGTTTTTAAATGTTAATCTAAACTTCAATTTAAGAACCATCCAGTAAAAAGTACTACAATTTACCTAATAAAATCTCTGAAATTCTTCTAAAATTTTGTTCATTTGAAAATCTTTAATTCTGTTGAGGGTTTAAATTTTCCTCCTTGGTCATCTATCCTCTTGATATTTCCTCTCTCCCCCCCCTTCATTATCAATTGCTTCATCATCACTCATTTCTTCAATAGATTCATCTATTGAATCTATTTCATAAATTCATCTTCACTCGAAATGACCAAGTCCTGATTGTCTATCACCCATGATGTTTTAAGTGGTCAACTAACTACCATAAATATTTCAGTTATATTATTTTTCTTACTGAGCTTTATTTTAGTCTTTATTGACGAAGTCATAATATATGATTATAATAACACATTTATTGAAATGTTGTGTTTGGTAAAGTATATCAACAATGAAGAAGATTATATTACAAATTTTATTCAGGAATTGTAAATATCAAAGTAGGGTTGACTTGCTGATCTACCAAAAAGTATTTGATTTGTGAAGCAATCTTCCTGCATAATCAAGGGCTTTTGAGGCATTGCAGGATCTGATCTGTTGGCTTGGAAAAGATTAATTAATGGTATACAAATAAACATTTGGAAATAAACCTTTCTATTACATTACCAATTAAGCGATCAAATGATATTTTTGTCAATACTAAAAATAATTCATTATTAAAAAATGCATTCTAACATATAAGAAAGTTCAAATTTAGTTCATGATGTATTACAAATAAAATTCATTGTGTCTGATTTTCTTGTGCTTCTTAAAAAATTATTTTTTGAGTTTTGAACCTATTTTCATGGCCATTATCTCATTTATAGTTATGAAATAAATGTATAAATTCTATTAAAAAAAAAAAACCTGTACCACTAACAATCCATGAAGAGTCTTGGATTCAGTACAATGTTAAGGAAGTACTGTTACAAGGCCAACGGTTGTGTAGGGAGGTGATGGACCAATATCACGCTCAACCGCCAGGTTTTCCCCTTTAATTAATTATTTAATTAAGAGTACCTAAGAGGCTGGGTTTGCCCCAGAAGGGTCTCCAGGCCCCAGGGTCGACGCATGGCTGAGTATAAATGCTAGGTACTTCTTGTCTAAGCGGCCGTTTTGAAACCTCACTTCTTATCTATCTTATCTAACGTCATGTCATCATGTCACATAACCTCCCTCTTCTTATCCCGCCAAACTTTTGAGTTATTGCATTGTTTAGTTTTCAGTTATTCCCTTATTACGTTCACTTATTAAATTGTTTACTTTTGGCCCGTTTGTGTTTATTTTACATTTTTTTTTAGTTTGTGACCCCTTGGTGTTTATTTTTCATTTTTTTTCGTTTATTTTCGTCATATTATGGATCTGGATTATGGATCTTATTTATTCCAAAATAAATAAGACAAAAGGTAGTGAATAATTAACTTAAAATAATTTGTACATATGCTGTTTATAGTGTTGACATTTTTTCTTTTCCATGTAAATATGTTCTTTTAAATGTGTTTTTTTATTTATTTCATTTTGATGTTTTATATGTACATATCTTCTTAAAGTGTTTTTATATTATTTGATTAATATATTTGTCGTCAAATAAAAGTATTTTTGTTGTTATTACATTTGTTTTTGTATCTGTTTACACTGTCAATAATACAAATTTAATACAATAATACGAAGATGTGAAGTAGGAGAAGGCTTATCACTGCGTTATGGGAGTTATCAGTGTTGAGGTTATAAAAATTGGCAGATAGCAGTCAGTAGCGGCCCCTTAGACAAGAAGTACCAAATGCTATTACTGATTTCATAATTTGTATTATCTATGGGTTTAATTTATGTTTTTATTTTAATAATGCATTATTGAACTTACTTAGGTGGACGATTATTTGTGGTTAATGGACCGAGTTCTAGCGCATTAATTCCAGTACAAGGATTTGTTCTAAGTTTGAATGGACAAATACTGGGAAATTTTGGTTCAGGTCTGAAGAATCCTCATGATGTTGCTACATCATCTAATGGAAGTGTAGTTTATGTTGTTGAAATAGGACCAAATCGAGCATGGAAATTTGTTTACAGTAAGTTTCATTGAATTTATACCATAGTCTTTTGATTCAATAAGGTTGTTATTGTTTTATCAAAGATTTATATATTTTATTTCTTATTTATCGTGTATTGAATATTAAAATGTTCTTACGCTTTTGTTTTTCTCCCCATTTCACTACATATAATTTTAAAGTTGAATCAACTGATAAACATACTTCAATATTTCTAATTTGTTTTTCATTGATATTATGAAATTCCTTGGACCAAAACTGTTCTTGTTTTAATTTAGTTTTAGAAATCCTTATCCTTTAATAACTTCTACAAAAAGCAATCATATTGTTTGTTCACTTATGCAATTACATTCCACAAATAATTTATGTCTTTGATTTGAAAACTTTATTATTATTGTTTTCTTTTATTAATTATTCTTATATTACTGGATTAAGAGGGGAGGAGTATACATAGAGAATTTAGGTATAAAATTAAGCATCCCACTAGGCAAACACTCCACCATATTCCAAGCAGAATTTTCTGCCTTAATGTCAGCAGTCACAAGTCAAAGAGTTATTGACTGTGACAATTATTTATGAGTTTGAACAAGAATTTTTATTTTTAATATTTTTACTTGATTTGTTTTGAATTATTATTTAAAATTTATATTGTTTATCATAAATGAAAGGAAAACATTTAGTACTAATGCCGACTTTTCACAAATGGAAGATTGTGATAGCTTTAATCAAAAAGTGTTTAAAAATCCCTATTATTTTACTGTTTAATTAAAATTGACAATATTCTGCTTTTTTATTTTCTGTGTTAAAATGTCGATCAACCTCTTTTAATGCTAGACTTCATACATTTCTCAACATATATTTAACAATTGTTTGTAAATTTTATTACTTTGAAACAATGCTTGTTGTTACTGATTAAGAAGATAAGATTAATTTCAAACAAATTGTTTATTGAATTAGAAACTTACATTAGATTGTTTTGTAAATTATCCAAATTAATTAAAATTAGATTTATTAAAATATTATACAAACATACCTAGTTCTGCCATAAATACTGTTAAAAAGTTGAACCTTGTTTACATCCTTGGGTATTATTTAGATAATCCTTACCTCTATCAGGTTATTTTCTTTACATGTCAGGATAATAATCCCAATTAGTTTATATTTTTCTTTCAGTCAGTTAACATGGAGTGGGGTGATAAAGAAAACCGAATAGCTGTGATCGCCTTACACAAAGATGGAAAATGTAGGTCAGAGATTTTCTACGCTTTGAAATCTTTGGGTATCAGCCGTAGGTTCATGTACCGCACTATAAATAGATATAATGAGACCCTATCTGTAAGTGACAGAGCTCGACCGGGCCGTCCCCCCACTGTGAGAACGGCATATGCAGTGAGAGCAGTGGCTGTTCGAATCAGAAGAAATACCATTCGAAAACAACAAATCATGTCTTGGGAAATGGGAATCTCTGTCAGATCAATGTCTCGCATAATAGAAAGTGACTTAAGGATTGGTGCATTTCGAAGAATGACAGGACAGGACAAAGGCTAACCACTTCCCTAAAAAAAATTAGAGTGGATAGAAGGTCTGTGACAAGGCAAAAGGAGACATTTTGAGCAATTTCTTTTTTGTTTTACTCTCTATAGATATACATTTTATTTTCTAATACTGTTTTTAAAAAAATTAATTTTTCTGTTGAAATCTGTATATATTTCCTTTTAACAGTATGTATGAAAGGACTAGGTATATAAAGTATACAGGGACACAAGTATACAGGGGGCCTCATAAGTAGAGGGAAATATTTATAAGAATGATAGCAGACCTCAAGAGCTACAAAATGTTTATATAAACATTGGTCTGGTTTTTGGCAGAAAAGTAAGAAATTTAAGTTTTGTGTTTTTTTGAGTAAATCATGTTTTTATTGCATAGTAGAGATGGGCAAAATTGTACTCTGAGTAAAAAGTACAATTACAGAGTAATTTACTCAAATACTCGCCCGGTTCGTGTATCGAGTACTTCAATCACTACTCGACCTCATGATTGACCAGTACAAAAAGTAATCAGCTGTCCTCCTGAGTACTTTTTATTTTCAAATCTACTCAACAATATTTTACTCTGAGTACTTTTCAAAGTAATCGAGTATTTCATTATAAAAATTACAGGAGTAGAATATTTAATATTTCTTCCATGTTTAAGTCCATTATTATCTTATGGTGGTATAGTTTTTTAAAATAGTATAGATATTAATGTAAATCGAAAAAATAAAGAATTATTAAAATAATTTGGATTTAATCAACTTTGGGGACCATTTTTTTTTTTTTTTACACCACTTGACTTTTATAATAATGCTGTCGGATTTGAGATAGTGCCCCCAGGCCCCGACTTTTTTAAGTTTTTGTGTTAAATCGATATCAGGGTCGATTAGTATGTTTTGGGGGCGCTTTTTATGAAAATGATATCGAATTTGAGATTGGGCCCCCCGGGCCCCGACTTTTTTTAAGTTTTTGTGTTAAATCGATATCAGGGTCGACTATTAGGTTTTGGGGGGCGCTATTTATGAAAATGATGTCGAATTTGAGATTGGGTTCCCCGGGCCCCGACTTTTTTTAACTTTTTGGATTAAATCGATATCAGGGTCGACTATTAGGTTTTGGGGGACGCTTTTTATGAAAATGATATCGAATTTGAGATTGGGCCCCCCGGGCCTCGACTTTTTTTATCTTTTTGGATTAAATCGATATCAGGGTCGACTATTAGGTTTTGGGGGACGCTTTTTATGAAAATGATATCGAATTTGAGATTGGGCCCCCGGGCCTCGACTTTTTTTAACTTTTTGGATTAAATCGATATCAGGGTCGACTATTAGGTTTTGGGGGACGCTTTTTATGAAAATGATATCGAATTTGAGATTGGGCCCCCGGGCCCGACTTTTTTTAACTTTTTGATTAAATCGATATCAGGGTCGACTATTATGTTTTGGGGGGCGCTTTTTATGAAAATGATATCGAATTCGAGATTGGGCCCCCGGGCCCCGACTTTTTTTAACTTTTTGGATTAAATCGATATCAGGGTCGACTATTAGGTTTTGGGGGACGCTTTTTATGAAAATGATATCGAATTTGAGATTGGGCCCCCCGGGCCTAGACTGTTTTTAACTTTTTGGATTAAATCGATATTAGGGTCCATTAGTATGTTTTGGAGGGCGCTTTTTATGAAAATGATATCGAATTTGGGAATAGGGCTCCCGGGCCTCGACTTTTTTTAACTTTTTGGATTAAATCGATATCAGGGTCGACTATTAGGTTTTGGGGGACGCTTTTTATGAAAATGATATCGAATTTGAGATTGGGCCCCCGGGCCTAGACTTTTTTTAACTTTTTGGATTAAATCGATATCAGGGTCGACTTAGTATGTTTTGGAGGGCGCTTTTTATGAAAATGATATCGAATTTGGGAATAGGGCTCCCGGGCCTCGACTTTTTTTATCTTTTTGGATTAAATCGATATCAGGGTCGACTATTATGTTTTGGGGGACGCTTTTTATGAAAATGATATCGAATTTGAGATTGGGCCCCCCGAGCCCCGACTTTTTTTAACTTTTTGAATTAAATCGATATCAGGGTCGACTATTAGGTTTTGGGGGACGCTTTAATGAAAATGATATCGAACTTGAGATTGGGCCCCCCGGGTCCCGACTATTTTTAACTTTTTGAACTAATTGATATCAGGGTCGACTATTATGTTTTGGGGGGCGCTTTTTATGAAAATGATATCGAATTCGAGATTGGGCCCCCGGGCCCCGACTTTTTTTAACTTTTTGGATTAAATCGATATCAGGGTCGATTAGTATGTTTTGGGGGGCGCTTTTTATGAAAATGATATCGAATTTGGAGATTGGGCCCCCGGGCCTCGACTTTTTTTAACTTTTGTGATTAAATCGATATCAGGGTCGACTATTAGGTTTTGGGGGACGCTTTTTATGAAAATGATATCGAATTTGAGATTGGGCCCCCCGGGCCCCGACTTTTTTAACTTTTCGGATTAAATCGATATCAGGGTCGACTTATATGTTTTGGGGGGCGCTTTTTATGAAAATGATATCGAATTTGAGATTGGGCCCCCGGGCCTCGACTTTTTTTAACTTTTTGGATTAAATCGATATCAGGGTCGACTATTAGGTTTTGGGGGACGCTTTTTATGAAAATGATATCGAATTTGAGATTGGGCCCTCCGGGTCCCGACTATTTTTAACTTTTTGAATTAAATTGATATCAGGGTCGACTATTATGTTCTGGGGGGCGCTTTTTATGAAAATGATATCGAATTCGAGATTGGGCCCCCGGGCCCCGACTTTTTTTAACTTTTTGGATTAAATCGATATCAGGGTCGACTTATATGTTTTGGGGGGCGCTTTTTATGAAAATGATATCGAATTTGGGAATAGGCCCCCGGGCCTCGAATTTTTTTAACTGTTTGTGTTAAATCGATATCAGGGTCGATTATTATGTTTTGGGGGGCGCTATTTATGAAAATGATATCGAATTTGGGATTGGGCCCCCCGGGCCCCGACTGTTTTTAACTTTTTGGATTAAATCGATATCAGGGTCCATTAGTATGTTTTGGGGGGCGCTTTTTATGAAAATGATATCGAATTTGAGATTGGGCCCCCGGGCCTCGACTTTTTTTAACTTTTTGGATTAAATCGATATCAGGGTCGACTATATGTTTTGGGGGCGCTTTTTATGAAAATGATATCGAATTTGAGATTGGGCCCCCCGGGCCCCGACTGTTTTTAACTTTTTGGATTAAATCGATATTAGGGTCCATTAGTATGTTTTGGAGGGCGCTTTTTATGAAAATGATATCGAATTTGGGAATAGGGCTCCCGGGCCTCGACTTTTTTTAACTTTTTGGATTAAATCGATATCAGGGTCGACTATTATGTTTTGGGGGACGCTTTTTATGAAAATGATATCGAATTTGAGATTGGGCCCCCCGAGCCCCGACTTTTTTTAACTTTTTGAA